ATTAACATTATATTAATTTTAATGTGAAAGTTAATTATAGAAGAGAAGAAAGTTTGAGTAAGTTAGAGTGCAATTCTTTTCTTCGTGAACATAAAATAAATAAAATTTTAAGCCACTTTTTTCAATTGCAAAGGTCGTGTCCAGAGGTTATGGAAAATGCTTTATGAGTCTTGTGTTTGAAGCCTGCAGGTGACAACTTTATGGGAAATTTTCCAGAAGATTTAAACCGTCTGGTTGAACGGTTTAACGGTTTGTACCGGTCCGAACGGTTTCAACGGTTTTGAACAGTTCAATCGCTTCACCGATTCTAAACCTTAACTCGAACCGTTTATTGTACCGGGTATCGGTCCGACCGATTCAACCGACCGATCCGGTCCAATTTTTAAAACATTGGTTACAGTTCAGTCAAGGTTGGAAGAACTAATGGTACACCTGCAAGAGCATTTAATGTGAAAACTCAGTTCAAACCTGCTAAACAAACGGTTCTAAAATCAACCGTTACCAACTCTACGTCTAACCATATGGATATAGGCCCAAAGAGGGATTCCATATCTACAAGTTCTGCACCTATTGGGAAAGAGATTGAGGCCTCATCCAAGACAACAAATGAAGATCTTGGCACAAATGAGAATGTGGGCCAAAGCAACAACCCAACAAAGGCCATTATTCCAACAGAGACTATCTCTAGCCCAATGATTAGGCCTTGTAGACTTTTTTCCAATGCTCCAACCAACCTTGAAGCTGCGTTGCTCACTGTTAAAGAAAGGATTAAAAATCTTGAATCAAGTTCCAACTTTACTTCTGCACCATCAAATTCCTCTATTCTCCCAAAATCTTCTTCAGAGATCAAAAATAAGCGATCCAGTAGCAGCTTCACCAATTCCCTAGCTCAGCCCCAATTTGAAAGTCCTACTAGTCAACAACAACAATGTGATTTCATTGGAGGAAGCCTTAAAGCTGCTATTGTCAAGGGAGGAGAAAATACACCCGTTATGGAAGGAGAGGGATCTATTCAAGGCTTGGCGCAGTCCTCTCCTAACTCTCAAATCCATAGATCCTCATCCTTTTCTAAGCTCAGTGCCAACTTTGAAGGAAGATTCGATAGCTATGGTAGATCAATGCAGTACTCAAAAGCTAGAGTTCACTACCTAAAGAGTAAGCATAGAAGAGATAAAGGGCTCTATCCAACCTCTGACATTTCTAGCCTAGGCATGGCAGGAACATCTCCAAATCTTCAATTTAATGGGCAAGATGGAGACAATCCATGTTATCATCAAGCCCTCAATATTGCTGGGGACGGAGGAGATGGATTACGAATGCTTGATGCTTCCGTGTCACTTTTCGGGGGCCAAAATGATGTTGTTGCACAGGAAACTCAAGAACCGTTGTTCGACCATACTCTAGCTAAGTTAGCCTTGGGTCTCTCTAACTCCTATTGTTGGTCAATGAAGATGCTCTCTTGGAATTGTCGCGGTGCGGCTAAAATGGAGTTCAATAGGCGCATGAGAGATTTGAAGAATCAACACTCTCCCTCAATTATGCTTATTCTTGAAACAAAGCTCTCTGGCCAGGATGCTAAGAAAGCGGCGGTTGAATGTGGATATCCTTGTAGCCATGTAGTTGATTCAGATGGTAGGGCTGGTGGTCTCTGGCTATTGTGGGATGATAATGAAGTTTGTGTCGATGTCGTCACCTCAACTTTTCAAGCAATCCACGCAATTGTCCAGGTACGCTATCACCCCATCTTCTCTAAATTTCATCGGTTTCTTTCTGGTGTGTATGGTAGACCCCAATTTGAGCTTAGATCTCACTTATGGGATGAACTGCGTGAGGTTGCAAAATATTTCAATGGGCCACTACAAGCAAAATGCCCTATACCAACGGAACTCTATACCAACGGATAAAAAATCCGTCTGTATAAATTATATATACCAATGGAAAACTTCAGCCGTTAGTATACGCAGGTCTATACCAACGGAAAAATACATCCGTTTGTATAGACTTGGTTTATACAGACGGTTTAGTGATTATCCGTCTGTATATAATATATCTATACCAACGGTAATTATTATATGTCTGTATAAATATATCTATACAAACAATTAATGTTCGGTCGGTATAGTCCCCTATTTCTTTAACAGTTAATTTTTTCTTCCTAATTTCAGCCTGCCCACTTTCCCTTCCCACCGCGCACCCCCAATTTCCCTCCCTTATTTCCGAGCTTCCCTCCCCAATTTCTGACCTTCCCTCCCAGCAAATCTACAAATTTTGTAATTGATTTTGCTAAAACGCAAAACCCATTCGAACCCAGCTGCAAAACTCATTTCCTCCACTCTAATCCATCAACGACAGAGGATTGCTCGCAGCCGACCGCAGGCCCGCTTGCTCTCTCCTGTTCGTCATCCATGGTACCGTCGCCTCTCTCTCTCTCTGTTTCTATAAGATTCCATTAGGCTGTGCATGCTCATCTTTGCTATTACTGGTTTCATTTTTGCTATTACTGGTTTCCTTGTTGTTTTCCGATTGTTTAGTTTCATACTGGTTTCAAGTTCCGATTGCATCGCCGTCACCGTCATAACTTCACTATTAAATCTTCCAAAAAACTCTCTGCCTGAAATCACCGATTCTTCTACATTCCCGAAGCAGATAGAGTAACTCAAAAGGATTATGGGCCAGGAAGAAGCCGACCGGAGAATATCGCCGTCAAAGGAGTTTAGAGGAAGAGAGGAGTTCCGCTCGACCATTTTCCATGCAATCTTAGCTCTCACTTTATGGCTTGGATCCATCTATTTCAACGCCTTCTTAGTCCTTATCTCGCTGCTTTTCCTCCCCCTTTCCAAGTCCCTTGTGTTCATTCTCTCTCTCTTTCTCTGTCTCTGTCTCTTTCTCGCTTTCTCTGTTTCGTTCTTTTCTAGTTCGGTAGAAAAAACAAAGTCTTCTCCTTTTCCCCTGTATTTATTCTGGGTCAAAACCCCTTTTTCGGAATTTTTTCCAGGGTGATTGGATTGCTTTTGGTTTTCATGCTCATTCCTATCTAAATATGACAAGCAATTGGCCAAGTACTGTTCTGTGTCTGTTGTTTTCCTTTTTAATGGTGAAGTGAATGAATTTCCTTAGTCATTTCTTGAAATGAATTCTTGGACAGCTCTCCATTGGAAGAATTTCTAATTTTAGTTCAAAGTTTTATTTTTGGACTTCTCCATTTGCTGGATTTCTAATATTT